GCTCAACCGAATTGCGCAATATTTCGAACTGAATGAAACCGAAGGCCACGATCGAGTGAGGTACGCAGCATTCTATTTGGATGGAGAGGCCAACGTATGGTGGCAGTGGCTGTCAAGGATCTACCGTAGGTGGCAACAGGTCATTACATGGGCTGACTTTGAGAGAGAATTGCTCACACGTTTTGGTACGTCCGATTACCATAACTACAATGAGGCCCTCGCACGAATACGACAGACAGGCAATTTACGTGAATATATCAAGGAGTTTGAACGATTAGCCTGTGACACCCCGCCTTGTCATGAAAATCAGAGTGCGCTTTTCGCAATTACATTCAAAATAAAACATTTTACATTGTGAAATACTGATTCGGAGTGCTACCAAAATACATAACTGACTGTCAAATCTAAAATTTTGGTTTTGAAAACCAAGTAACAGTTCGCCGACTGATTCATTTGACTAAGAATGATGAACAGTAAAACATCAGCGGAAACTGTAGTGGTGAAATTGGATAGCAGTACCGTGATCAGGAAAACAAGTTATCTGAAAATAATAACGGCACTGCTATGCCAAATTCAAACTGTACAAAACATAATTTAAGCTTTATAAGCATAAAGCTTAGGTAATTTAAACTTTGTAAGCATAATCCCAAACGGCTCCGTCATCTCACTCCTCCGTCCCGACTTCATGACCTGAAAAATCTGATAATAGTGGGAGCGTGAGTACTAAAAACACTGTACTCCGCAGAAACTCATACTAAATTAAACATCAATAATAATATCAATATCATGACTGCAGATATATATAAATAAACTGTAATCTCCAGACGCGAGGTCTGTACTGAACTGGCCATGTGCACACTCTGATGGGCAATTAAGGCTACTGCGCCTCCACCAGAACTCTGGATGGGCAATTAAGGCTACTGCGCCTCCACCCAAAGTGGAATAACTGATATACATACATCAAAACATGATAGAGCAATTATAACCAATGTAATACCCAGTCTGAGTCCCCACCTGAACTGCTGATTTGAAAATGTAAGTGCTGATATCTGGATCCTGAACAAACTCGTCATGTACTCGGAGAATTACACACGGTATACGTCATTCCCTCGACTCCGAGTGCGTGCGCTAGCCGTGCGTGTTTATTAATCTTAATCTTACTTAAAATATGCTGAAGTTATAGCTTAGATAATCAGCCGTAAGTTCACCCCAAATTCTGATTTATATAGGTGATAAAACGTGGGTGAGATTGGGATGAAAAGGCTCGGCTAATGGCCGTGCGCCATGTGCCGAGTGTTAAGGACTTAAGGGTGGCGTTTGGAGCTTAGTCATCCACCCGCATGCTTAGTCATCTCCTAAACTTGCTACCAGCCTCCCATGTGGCATAAGATGATGACAATGCACGAAAAGATTGGGGAGTTTTGGACTTTCGGCGATTAGTTCGACTAAGCACGGCTTAGACGTGCTAAGGACGTACTTATGCGTACTAATGGCCGTACTAAGCGTACTCAATGCTAAACTAAACATGATTACTCCTAAACATGATTAACCTTAAACTAATCCTCGTTAATGTTAATTAATCATCATTAACATTAAGCTAATCATGATTATCTTAAACTAATCATGATTAATTAGCTAAACATGGATTAAGTTAATTAAGCAAGGCTTAATAACGATTGTTTAAGCATAATCTAATGATGGACGGTGTACCAAGTGTGAACGCGTCGTTGTATAGGAATGACGACGTTCATTTATGGTAACCTTAACCGAATGTACTCATTTTTAGTTACAACTTGACCTCGGAACTTAATTCGGATATTCTTGACTTAGACGCTTAATCCGAACATTAACATTTCGAATAGTTCGTCAACTTAGCTTATTAATTCCGAGCTCATTAACTAATTAAATGAATCGGAATTAAATCTGAAAACTTATTCGGTTATCAACCCGAATAACACATCGACTAATAGTCAAACTTGGAATATAGTTGGCTGAACCACTTGGACTTGAACATAAACTTGATTATTTATTAACAAAGGCTAGCTTTAAAATTAAAATCTAGTATTTTCCTTTATTAATAAAACTCGGGGTATAACATAGCCTGTCGCGTACGAGATTGGTCTGAGGATGCGTTAGTAGGAGCCTTCATAGGTGGGCTGAGATTCGATCTAGCCGCAGAAGTCCGACTGGAGCGACCAGACACGATGCATAACGCCATGGAGGTAGCCCGACGGCGAGAAGACCATCTAGTCGCTACGCGAAGGGGACGGGCGGATGTGCGATTCACGGACATGCGACGCACGAGACCGAACCAGACAACGGTCAGCGCACGGCCAAACGTCAGCAATCGACCGGCGGGGTCGATAGTAAGGCGACTGTCTCCAGAGGAAGTTAAACGTCGACGAGAGAAAGGCTTATGTTTCAAGTGTGAGGAGAAATTTACACCAAGTCATCAGTGTAAGCAAGATTTTGTGATCGAAGTTGCTAATCCTGATGAGGAAGGATCTGAGGTCGAGGAGGAACCACATTAGGATATTGAAGTTGAGGGGCCCGACGAAGAAGCAGAAATCTCGATGCACGCAATGGCCGGGATTAGAGGGCCTCGAACGATGCGATTGCCAGCCTGGGTTAAGGATCGGAAGGTGATGGTGCTCGTGGACAACGGGTCATCACACAACTTCATTAATGCCGACTTGTCCCAGAAGCTGAACTTACCAACCACGAAGATTGAGCCTTTTGAGGTACGAGTAGCAAATGGAGGGAGGCTGCAATGCACTAAATCCTTTCGGAAGGTGCCAATCAGATTCAGCGGAGTTACGGTAAAGGCTGATCTCTATACCTTACCTCTGGTTGGGTCGGATGTCGTCCTAGGAGTACAGTGGCTTGAAGGGTTAGGCAAGGTGACCACCGACTATCGAACAGGAATTATGGAGTTCAACTCCGGAGGTCAGCAAGTCACTCTGAGTACTGGCAATGACAAAGGTACCAAGGAAGTAGAACTTAAGAGCATTGAAAAAGTTTGGCGGGGTGGAGGCCAAATATTTGCAGTAGTAGTAGAGAAAACTGAGGCGCACATAGACCAAGAGGAACAACAACAGGGAGATGAGCGCGAGCTTCTCAGGGAATTTGAGGGAGTACTGGGCGAGCCTAAAGGACCACCCCCACACCGGGAGTTCGATCATCGCATACCACTGATCAATGAGCAGCATGCCATACACGTTCATCCTTATAGGTACACTCACTTTCAGAAAATCGAGATCGAACAGCAAGTGGCCGAGATGCTTGAGTCAGGACTAATCCAGCATAGCAAGAGTCCGTTTTCTTCTCCAGTCTTGCTAGCCAAAAAGAAAGACGGCACGTGGAGGTTATGTACTGACTACCGAGCTCTGAACGCTGCAACTATCAAGGACCGATTTCCTATCCCTAGCGTGGACGACATGCTCGATGAGTTAGCCAGGTCACGCTATTTCTCAAAACTCGACCTGAGAGCTGGTTACCATCAGATTCGACTCCACAAGGCCGACATTCCAAAAACAGCATTTCGTACGCACCAGGGGCACTATGAGTATCTGGTCAGGCCATTCGGATTGTGCAATGCCCCATCCAGTTTCCAGTTTGCTATGAATTCTATCTTCAAAGAGTATCTACGTAAGTTCGTTCTGGTATTCTTTGATGGTATACTGATCTATTCGAAGTCGTGGGGCGAACATCTTGGGCATTTGAGAGTAGTGCTCGAAATTTTGGAGGCCAACTCATTCCACATCAAGCCATCCAAATGTTCATTCGGGCAGAAGATGGTTGAGTATTTGGGGCACTTCATATCCCACGAGGGCATGAAGGTTGATCCACGAAAGATTGAGGCTATGATCGATTGGCCAAAACCAACAAGTCTCACACAGTTGAGGGGATTTCTAGGACTCACAGGTTACTACAGAAAGTTCGTGAAGGATTATAGAACCATCGCCAAGCCATTGACAGAGATGACTAAGAAAGGCGGGTTCACATGGACCGAATCTAGCAAGGAGGCGTTTGGGAAACTAAAAGAAGCCATGACTACAACGCCAGTGCTCGCCATGCCCAGGTTTGATGTCTTGTTCGAGGTACACACCGATGCGAGTGACATTGGGATTGGAGCGGTGTTAGTGCAAGAGGGACGACCCTTAGCTTATCTCAGCAAGGCACTAGGCACTACACTATTGGGGCTATCAGTGTACGTGAAGAAGATGCTAGCAGTTGTCGAGGCTGTAAGGTGCTGGAGGCCTTTTCTATTGGGCCGATGTTTTCAGATTGTGACCGACCAGCAACCGCTTAAGCATCTCCTAGAGCAAAGGATTGTTACCCCCGAGCAGCAGAAGTTCGTATCTAAACTTATGGGGTTTGACTTCGAGATAATCTATCGACCGGGTCGACAGAATGCAGTAGCTGACGCATTATCTCGACGAACAGATGTAGCCGAGCTGAATGCTATTACTGGGCCAGCTTGGACGGTTTGGGAGGAAATCAGGAAGGCGCAAGTAGAGGACACCTATTGCCAGGAGCTGCGCCAATCGATAGAAGCAGGTAAGACAACTGCTATCGACTATGAGTTGCATAATGGTCTGCTTCTACACCGGGGCCGAGTATTCATCCCCGACAGTGGGCAGTTACGTGAGAATATCATGCAACACTTCCACAACTCTAAAATTGGAGGCCACTCGGGTGTCTATCGCACGTGGATGAGAATAGCCAACACTTTCTTCTGGCCCCGACAACAGAATATCGTCTGAGATTACATAGCACGATGCGACGATTGCCAGCACACTAAGTCTGACTCACGACGGCTAAGCGGGCTGTTACAACCTCTACCGGTACCGGAGGTAATCTGGGAAGACATTACTATGGATTTCATAGAGGTGTTACCGAGTTCCACTAGATTTGACGGTGTTATGGTCATAGTGGATCGTCTCACAAAGTATGCTCACTTCATACCCATTACCCATCCTTACACCGCGAAGTCGATTGCCAGGTTATTTGTGGAATATGTGATGAAACTGCACGGAGCACCACGATCCATCGTCTCTGATCGAGATCGGATTTTTATGAGCAGCTTTTGGTCTGAATTCTTCAAGTTGCAAGGGACTAAGTTGTCTATGAGCTCAGCCTACCACCCACAGACAGACAGACAAACTGAGGTAACCAAACGAACCCTTGAGCAGTATTTGAGATGCTACGTCCATCAATTCCCGAAGCGGTGGGAAAACTTTTTTCCTTGGGCTGAGTATTGGTACACCACTTACCACGA